CTCTAAAAATGTTTCAAATATTAAATTATGTGGGAAGATACTGAGAGGGTAACAGGCAGGAAGGCTAGTGGAGGATATAGACTGCACGTGTCAGATTTTTTTTTCCTTCTTTATACAAAATTAAAAGGAGGTTTCTTTTAAAATTCTGTGTTGCCATGACGACACCTGGTTCCACCTGAGCTTAACTTTTCTGAAACCTTGAGCTAACCAATGTGTTTTTATTATGGAAATCTTTTCTTAAGCTATGTTTAATGAATTATGTATTTACATTAGACTCTGTCTTCCTTCAAGTTGGTTCCACCTAAGACTCAGAACCTATAATGGCTCAACAAATCAGTATGTTTTACTTATGGAAATGTTCTCTTAAGCTATGTTAATGAGACAATGTATTTGCTTGGAAACCTGCCTTTTTTCAAGATTCATGTCAAATGTTTGACATCTTGGGGGCTCGTCCGGGATTCTTCAGGACAAGGTAAGGAGGCTTGGAGCTCTAGTTCTTTGTTCTCCTAGCAAACACGTTTTCTGCTGTACTTTACTAACTCTATGGTGTGTTTGTGTGTGTGACTGATTGAAAGAGACACACATGTGCGAACCAAGAGCTGTGTCCTAATCTGAAGTTCCACAGTGACCTCACACAGCTTATGGCAGAAACCCTATTGGGGGATTATACCGACCTGCTAATGTCAAGAGGCACCCAACATCTCCTCCAGGGGAGCAGCCAGGGATGGATGAAGCGTGTGAACCAAACTTTCCTTTCTCAGTCAAACTTTCCAGTCTCTTTGACCATTTCATAACTTCCTGAGAATTAGAACTACTAACCTAATCTGTTGGATCATAGACTTTCAAGAGATTTGTGATCTACGCTGTTACTGTGTACTGTTCCATAGGTCCCAAACCTGAAGAGCCCCGAAGATGAAAGGTTGTTGCTATGAGCCGTGAATGATGCTGGGATTCTTGGCCTCTGGAGGAGAGGAATTTGATCTGGGGCCAGTGACAAGGCTTGATTGCTCAGAGCTTTTGTGTAATAAAGTTTTAAAGTATAAAACAGATAGAGAAAGCTTTTGATATAGACATCAGAAGGGGGCAGAGAGAGTGCCCCCTTATATACCTATTGAAAGTGAAAGTGAAGTCACTCAGTCCGACTCTTTGCGACCCCATGAACTGTAGCCCACCAAGCCCCTCAGTCCATGGAATTCTCCAGGCAATACTGGAGTGGGTTGCCATTTCCTCCTCCATATTAGCAAGCTGCTAATTAGATAAAGGAAATGTCTCAAAACTCTTGAGAGTGGCAGGCCATTCACCCACAACATGCATTTTTGAGATAGCATTGGCACAGGGTGAGTCATCCCAGGCCATAAAATGATTGACATGGATCTTCAAGAAAGGCAGGTTTCCAAGCAAATACATAGTCTCATTAACATAGCTTAAAAGAACATTTCCATGAGTAAAACATACTGGTTTGTTGAGCCACTATTAGTTCTGAGTCTTAGGTGGAACCAACTTGAAAAAAGACAGTCTAAGGTAAATACATAGTTCATTAACATAGCTTAAGAAAAACATTTCCATAAGAAAAACACATTGGTTAGCTCAAGGTTTGAGAAAAGTTAAGTTCAGGTGGAAACAGGTGTCATGGAAACACAGAATTTTAAAAGAAACCTGCTTTAAAGTTTATATAGAGAAGGAAAAAAAAGGTCTGACATTTGCAGTCTATTTCCTCTGCTTGGGGGACCCTAGCCTTCCTGCCTGTTACCCTCTCAATACTTAAATATAATTTTATGTTAAAATGTATGCTACAAATGATAAATACTGAATAAATTCAATTTTAAAAACCACATTTAAAAAAATAAAATAAAAACCATATTTTATATGTGTACATAAAACATACTGGGGAGAAACTGTCAAAAAGGTAGCATTGGTTTTAACTGGAAATTTAGTTTTCTTCATTGAGGATAGCTGTATGTTTGTAATTAAAGATAATTTCACTTTTATAATAAAAAGGTTTTTTAAGACAGCTTAAAGAAAAATCATTTGACAAATTAGGAAGAGAAAGTCATGTGTGTGGATTGGGGTTTAGAGCAAATCACATTTCTCAAAGGAAAAAAAATTCCATGGATCAGGTCACCGGACAGGCAAGAAATTTTCAAGAGAAGGAAAGCAAGTCATATCTTGACAAAGAAAAGAGGATTTCGGGAAACAAGGGGAAGTGATAAGCTACCTTGCAGGTGCCTTGTGGATGTTCAACAGGCATTCTTTACTCCACTCTGGAAGACTGTGCAAGTAGAGCAGAGCTGGGGAGGGAGAAAGGAGTCAGGAAAAATCAGGTTCTTCTGGGAATCCAAGTCAATCTACCACCTACAGAAAAGCCCAGAAAAGGCTTGTGCGTCCTGCTCAATACCAGCATGACAGAAGCGCAGGGTCATTTGCAGTTCTGGGCAGACTCTGCCCCTGGGCTCCAACTCCTGGGAACAGAGCGCTGGAGTCACAAAGACACAGACAAAGGCGTCTCACACCTACAGTGCTATATGGATATATAATCATACAAACTCACTCATACCACGGGGCGCTCAGGCACCCCAGAGGGCCACTCAACCATATACACTCTGGAGGTAGTCAGTCACGATCGCAGTCAGAGGCACCCCCAGGTGACACCTATCATGGGGACACAAGGACAACAAATTCAGACGCACCCTACCCACCAACAATATCACAAACACACCCCCAAGGGGAAATATTAGAAATCTCACAGTTAAGCCACCCCACTCCCACCGCTCAGCAAATGTTCATAAACACACACACACACACAAAGTGGATAGATATACAGCTTTGCAACCACAGTCAAAGAACTTCACACTCACAAACAGGGCCACACCCAGTCACAAAGTTAAACCCCATCACACATGCACCATTGTAACTGCAAATCAAGCCCGCCTCCCCGTCTTTACAGTTTGGTACAGGGTCACACAGACACAGAGACATAATCACAATCAGACACACACTCCTCACAATCTCCCCTTCCCAGCTGGCTGGCTCCCGTTGAGACCGGAGGTTCCAGACACGCCCAGCTCCAACCCATCTCACCTACGATTCCTCAGGTCTGTCTGGTCAGCACCGCTCCACTGTACTTGAAACAAATAGAGCCCAGCAGCTCCCAGAGCACCCAGAGGCTGTTTGCCCCTACCCGCCAGAAAAACCCGCCCACTCCTCAGGAGGAGGTCTGCTTCTCGCGGGAGGGAGCATCAGGCCTAGAGGCCTCTGGGAGATGTAGTCCAGAGAGAGACAGAGAGAGCGCGCGCGCGAGAGAGAGCGAGAAAGAAGCTGCTAAAAGCTACCTCCAATTCATCCTGAGTACCCCGTGGCGAGGAACCTGGACCTGGCAGCGCACCTGAGGCTTCGGCGAGTCTCAGCTGACAAGGATTCCATGAGCAAACTTTAGTCAAGCTGACTCCACTGACTCCATCACCCTGCCCACTGGCTATAAACTCCCAGAGACTGTTATATACCAAGTTGAGGTAAATCTCTCTTCCCTATTGCAATAGTCTTTAATAACGTTTTCCTTATGTGTTTAACTTGTTTGGTGCAACTTTTCTTTGACACAGCCCAGCCTCAAGTTTCTGTTGTGGCTCTCGCAGGTTTTGGCGCTCATCCTGCAACATAGTGAGCCCCACGGCATCCCGGGAAATGTAGTCCAGGACTTCGCCGACGGCGGGACGGACTCGGCAGAGGTAAACTGCATAACCCTAGGCTCTGAAGCGGGGCCTGGCCTCAGCCAAAAGCATGGGAGGCTGCTCAGGGTTACGCATTGTTCTGGGAGCGCTGAGAAGCCCTTGAGGCAAGCTGCTGAGGAACGTGTTGGGGAGCCAGAAGAGAGAACCCAAATGTGGAACATGAGTGTCTGGGACCAAAGCAGCCTCCGGAGAAATTCACAAGTCTAGTCACATGGGAGAGTGGGCAAAGGAGGGTCCCAGTGTGAGACCATGATGAGACTGCGAGTGTGACTACATTTAGGGGTTAGTTGAATGAAAGAGAGACTGCAGGCGGTGAGGGAGAGGTAGGATCAAGATTATGAGTGGTTTTATGAGGATAGAGGGTCATATTGTGGGCTTGTGTGGTTGGGAGTAAGTGTGTGTGTGTGTATGTGTGAGTGTGTGTGAGAGAGAGATCACATGATTGTGGGTCATTCTATAGGTGGCTGAGGAAGTGGAAAAATCTGAATCCTCTCAGCCTCATTTCCTCTTCAAATGGAGACATTTGATCAAAAACAGAAGTAGTGACATTTGAAGATATTTGGATAAAGAGCACTGTAAGCAGAGAATACAAGTAAACAAAAATGCCGTGGGTTAGCCCTAAGCCTCTCAATGGACACAAATTTGAGCAAACTTCGGGAGATAGTGAAGAACAAGGAAAGCTGACAGGCTGCTGTTCATGGGGTTGCAAAGAGTCGAACACAACTGAGTGATGAACAACAACAACAAGCCATAAGCCTGGTATATTCAGTGAACAGCAACTAGGACAGCGTGACAAAGTGGAGAGTAGTAAATGAGGTGAAACAGCTAATGAGAAGACTGCTTATGGAGAATGTTTTATGAAGTTTGGTTAGTCTTAGTGAGATGTAAAAGCAATAGTGGGTTTTGAACAGAAGAGTGGCATGATCTTATATTTAAAAGAAATCATTTGGAGTGCTGAGTAGAGAGTAGGGGGACAAAAAAAGAAGCAGGGAAACTAGTCAATGGGCTGGTGGAATAATCCAGGTAAGAGATAATGGTGACTTGGTCTAGGGTGATAGCAGTGGTAGTTAGGAGAACTAATTGGATTCTAGATACATTTTGAAGATAGAGCTAAATGGATTGGGTAAAAGATTTGATGAGGGAAATGAGAGAAAAAGAGGAACCTAGGTCAACCGCCGTATTTTTAGATCAAGAAACCAGAATTGTCATTTATTGAGATAAAACTAGAGTGAACAAGTTTTAGTGGGTAAGTCATTGGTCTTTGCTCTGCTAAACCTCTGAGATCACTAAGGCAAGATGAGAATTCTATGGAAATCTATTAAGATAAAACTAATATAGTAACAGGTTGTTTGGGATTAAGTGGTGGCATCCTAGAGATATGTCCACATCCTAACTCCCAAGACCTGTGAATGTGACCTTATTTGGGGGAAAAAAGGGGGTCTTTACAGATGTAATTAAGATAAGGATCTCTAGGTGAGATTATCCTGGATTTTCTGGATGTGACTTAAATCCACTTACAATAAACAGAAGATGAGAAGACATAGAAGAAAGCCATATGAGAAAGAGGCAGAGACTGAAGTTAAGCAGCAACAATCTAAGAACACCTGAAGTATTCCTGATTTTTGCCTTGTGTTTTGGGAATGTCTTGATTTTTCTTGGCTTTTTACATACTTTGTATTTTTTTTGATGTTGTTGAAAGCCATTTGTTTAGGACAGTAGTATGCAGAAAAAGGGTAACAGCAGAGCTGAGACAACTTATCCTTTAAAGGCCTGGTTGAAGTTTGGCTCTTGATTTACAACTAGAACTTAAAATTTTGAGAAGATTCCCATTATCCTAATTGATAAGAATGGCTCACTATGTCTACAGTGTTTGTTCAAACAATATAATTTATGCTAAATACTTGCTTTCCTTCTGAGAGTCTGAAATTCTGGTATGTGCCAGGCAGAGCCTGCCTATGCAGTCAGGCCCCAATGAAAATACTAGATATTGAGTTTCTAACGAGCTCCCCTGGTTGTTACCATTTCACATGTACTGTCACAGCTCGTTCCTGGGGAATTAATGGCTTTTGTGACTCCACTGGGAAAAGGATCCTTGGAAACATGGGGCTGGTTTTTCCTGAAGTTTGCCCAGTGCACCTTTTCTTTTTGCTGATTTTGCTTTGTATTGTTTTGCTATGAGTTCTCCCAGTGAATCCTTGAACCTTGGAGGGAGGGTTGATCTTGGAGTCTGGCAACACCATAGAAACTGAGGAAAATAATTTTTATACCTGAATTGGCATATATTTCCTTCTGCAAAGCCTTTAGTGTGGAGTTTTGAGTTAATCTAGTTAGGAGTTTTAACAACTGAGCAAATTCAAACGGTTTGATTGTATTTATGTAAATTTCAAAGATAGATAAGTGAGAAATCAAGATGTTATATTATTATATGTTATTATATTATTATATTTTATTATATTAACAAGATAGTGGTCAGTTGGTGTCTTGGGGTCAGAAATGATCACAGGGGGTGGGCATTTCTTCTTTACGTAACAACAAGGTACCAACATACCAAGATTCTCCTCTTGTATGGCGTTACACATTCTATGTACTTTTCTTCAGGTATTTTCCATTTCACAATTAAAATATTTAAAGATTACCAATGATTTTGAAAATATGGAAAGAATTACTCCTCCATCAGAAAGTTTAGACATACATCTAAATCAGAAGCACAGTTCAAGAAGGAGGGGACACATGCATACTTATGGCTGATTGACATTGTACAGCACAAACCAACAACATTGTGAAGGAATTATCTTCCAATTAAAAATAAAAAAATAAATGATAATCACATAAGAAGGAAGCAAGTGAAAAACAGCCAGCAAGTATTAACTTCAGCAAAAATAATAGCTCAGACATGAATAACATTTACGAAATACTAATGTAACCATGAAAATTAATTTAAGCCACTTTAAGGGTAATTGGAACAAGGTGTTTGCTGTTGTGAAGGATACTGGAGGAGATGCTCCCATGGCTTCTCAGACAGGGGACATTCCTCCCCCCTCGCCCCTGGTGCCCCATAAATCCTCCCCTTCATCCAACCCTCAAGCCAGGGCTTGTGGGATAAGTGTCCACCCGTCCAGGCCGAGACTCAGGACATTTCTGCCAACCAATGTGTCAGATGCCCAGGAGGCGAGCTTGTGATGAGAATTACACCCTCCTTCCAGAAGTATTTACACAGCTCTGGACTACATTTCCCAGGGGGGTATCGCGTTCACGGCTACTTTCCGTCGAAAGATCGCGTGGGCATCTTGTCCTAGTTCCCACAGAGGGGCACCAGTTTGTGGAGGAAGAGAGGCGCGGAGTCCTCAGTTGAAACTTGTGTTCTAGACGCGGCCTGGAACTAGTTGACGCTTTGCCACAGATACGAGGCGATGTGAGGCCGATGGTCTCTGCCGAACGAAGGGTTAAGGTCCAAGGCCAAGGTCTGTGAATTGAGACCTCTGGGCTTTTGAAAGGTTGTCCAGGCTGCAGACCACATTTTCCAGTGTCCACCGTACCCGAGGCAACATTCTGTCCGCACACTCGCCGGTTCAGGACCATAGGAGGCATCGCCCGCGAGTCCCTGAGGAACATCCACAGCTTGGGGGAATCTCAAAGTCGGGTGAGTCTAAGACCCGGGAGCGGAGTGAACCCTGAGAGGCCAGGCCGCGGGGGAGAGCAGTGAGGGGCTAAAGTTTTCAGAGTTTGAGGCTTTACCAGCAATGGGATGTGGGAGGGACAATGGTGGCGGAGTTGCGTGTGTGTATCCGCGCGCGCGAGGGATCCTGGCCGCAAACCTTGGGTGCTTGTGTGAAATCGGTGCAGGAGCAAGGTGTGGGAATAGTGGAGGGATGTGTGTGTGTGTGTGTGTGTGTGTGTGTGTGTGTGTGTATAGTGTCATGGGGACGAGAGTTGTATGTGATTGTAATGGACCTTTTAGATGTGGCTGTGCACGTGTATGATTGTGACTGTGTCACCAAGTCGTGAACGTGTGTGTAAAGGTGGTAAATGTGGCAGCAGTTGTGGGGCCAGAGACAAGGAATTCAACATTGCGTTTAGTAACCTTCACAGTCTTTCGTGAAGGTGTGGGGAGTAGTTTCTGTAGGGCTGCTTGGATTGGAGTAGGATAAGGTAAAATGAGGCGAGAGGAATGGGAAACTGTAGACCACATATTTGAAGAGTTTTTCTGTAAATATAAGCAAAGAAATAAGCAGCAGCTGGGGAGGAAGAAATAACAACCTATCAATATGATAGCGGAAATGAGCCATGATAGAAGGAAAAGTGGTTATGCCGGTAAGGAGTAAGCCAGGCTCATCTGTAGGTGTCCTGAAATTACAAGAATAAAAGAAGGGTAGTAGCCTATGGGCTCCCCTGGGTAGCTCAGTGGTAAACAATCCTCTTGCCAATGCAAGAGACACGAGTTGGATCCCTGGGTTGGGAAGATCCCCTGGAGAAGAAAATGGTAACCCACTTCAGTATTCTAGCCTGAAAAATCCCATGGACAGAAGAGCCTGGCGGGCTGCAGGCCCTGGGGTGGCAAAAGAGTCCACTGAACAACAAATCGCAACTTAGCAACTGAACAAATAGCATTGCACAGAGTAAGCCATGAGCTCAAGGTTTGAAAAAAAAAAAAGAAAAAAAAAACCCGGAACTGGGAAAAGGCAACAAAAAGAAGGCCGGTAACGGAAGTAACAAAGGGCCCTTGGCAAGAAAATCAAAAGGAAAACCTTTGTGGAGGAGGAAGGGAGAAAGTTTGAAAGTAATAAGAGCAAGGAGGACACCTGCCCCACTTAAAGACCCAGTGGCAAGAGGCTGTTGTGGGGCGGGGAAAACATTGAGAGGGCTACAGGAGTCCTCTGGAGAAAGCCAAGTTTCTGTTAGACCCAGAAAGGTGAAAGGATTGTTCAGGGAAGTAGTTGAAGATAAAAGAGGGGTTTGTTACTCTGAATTCCAGAGGGCATACTAGAAAGTCTCAGGAATTGAGGGATGAGAAAATGAGATGTCCAACTGATGGGGAATACAGTATCTGTGAAGAGAGATCACCAACGACCCTAGGGCTTATTACAATATGATGGGCATAAACATGGGTACAGGGGATACTGATGCTTATTCTGATTGGATTCACAGATGTGTTGGAGAGGTAGTATTGTGGTAGAATGAGGTGGACTTTTGAGTATTCCCTTGAAAAGAGGGAAGTCGAGGATAGAACATTTAAGAATGGTTGGAGTAGGCAGAATAATGTCCCTGCAAAGATGTCCCTGTAATGTCCCTGGCCAGAACCTGGGCACCTATGAATATGTTAATTACAAGGCAAAAGGAATTTTGCAAGTGGGATTAAATTAAGGATTTTGAAGTGGGGAAATCATCCTAGACTATCCCTTTGGGCCCAAACTAATCACTTGGATCCTTAAAGTCAGTGGACTTTTTCCAGCTGAGTTTAGAGTTGCAGGGAGATGTGATCACAGAAGAATGGTCAGAGAGATACAAAGTTGCTGGTTAGATCAAGGAAGTTAGCCTCAAATCCAGGAGTGTTGGTCGCCTCTCAGNTTACTTAGCCAAGTGAGAACCATGGCAGACTTCTATCTAACTGTAAGGTAATTAAGTTTTATTGTTTTAAGCCACTGCATTTATGATTGTTTGTTATTCAGTAGTAGAAAACTAATATTGTGGTATAGTTTCTTAGACTCAGCATCATGGAAGGGTTTGAGCCATGTGTCATGAGGGGAACTCAGCACTTATTGATAAAATTTAGGACTTTAGGTAAAGCACATAGGCCCCTTCTTGTAATGTACTGTTTTGCTGCATTATGATATTGAAATTTAATGAATTTGTCTTTGTGATCTAATATATGGTCAGTCTAGGTATTTGTTTTGCACTTTATTTATCCTTTTATTTATCTTAAATTGAGAAAAATATATTAAAATTCATTTTAATATGACTTATCAATGAAATTAATTCAGTGAAATTTTATCTTGCATCAGCCTGTAACTTCTGCTTTATGAAAGCTCCACTGTTAGTTGATATATAGATATTCATAATTATTATATGTTTATTGTGAATTGTAAACTTTAGTATTTTAGCATCTTCAAGATCATAGCCCTTGGTTATTTTGTTTGTTTTCATTTGCCTTGTATATATTTCTTCATAATTTATAAAAGAAATCTCTTATTGAAGTTTATCATATATATAGGCAAGTGTATACACAATGATGCAAACAACCAATAAAACCAAAACGGTACACCTTGAATCACCACAAAGGGGAATACCCATGTAATAAGCACCCAGATCAAGAAATAAACCATTGCCTGCATTCCAGAAGCCCCTGTTGTGCTCCTGTTCAGTCAGTAGATTCCCCAAAGTAACCACCATACATCAGTTTTGTCTGTTTTTGAACATATGTATATGTGGAGTCATACAGTATATAGCATTTTATGTTGACTTCTTTGTTCAACATTATGTTTGTGAGATTCATCCATATTGTTTTATGTAAATTTAGCTTACTGTTTGCCTTGCTAAATGCACTGGTATTCCGTCACATGAATATACCAACTATATTTGTCCATTCAACAGTTGTTATACAGTTGGTTGACATTTGGCCTGTTTCCAGATTTGGACTTTCATGAATAATGATGTTAGGAGCATTCTTCCACTTGTCATTTTATGTTCATATGTATTTGTTTCTTAGGTCTATTTCTAGAGAAACTTGCTGGATCATAGGGTATGTGAATCTGCTTAAGCAGATACAATCTGTTTTCCAAAATGCACAAAATCAGTACTCCAGTCAACAGTTTATGCAAGTTTCAGTTGCTTCACTTTCTCATTAACATGTGGTATTGTCAGACTAAAATTTTTGCAAATATGGTGGATATATATGCAGTGGTATTGAGCTGTGGTTTTCTTAACTTATGACTAATGAAGTGGAGTTGCTTTTGTTTTAATACCTCTTGACCATATCCTTCCCAAAGGATATCTTCCTTTGGCAAATGCCTGTTTAAGTCCTTTGGCCTTCCTTTGCAGAGTGTCTGTTCACGTTTTGGGGAGCTTGTGTGCCTTTTTACTATTGATTCTTAGGAATTCTTTATTTGGAGTTCTGTAGTTTGGATATGAATCTTCATCAGCTGTGTGTATTGCAAATAATATCTCCCAGTACATTTTCACTCCTTTTCTGAGAAATTACTTTTTAAAATGTAGTCTGAAAGATATATAATCTGAATTAATTTTTTCCCTTTGTGGTTTGTGCTGTCTGTACTCTGTTAAGAAATCTTAATTCTCTCTTTTGATTTGTATTCCATCTCTAGAGGCTATGCTTAGTTGCAAGTTGGATCACTTCTTTTTTTTTAATTAATTTGATTTAAGTGTAGTTGATTTCCAGTGTTGTGTTTATTTCTGCTGTACAGCAGAGTGATTCAGTTATACATATATTCTTTTTCACATTCTTTCCCATTATGGTTTATCATCAGATATTGAATATAGTTCCCTGTGCTATGCAGTAAGTCCTTGTTCATCCATCCTATATATATAATAGTTTACATCTGCTAAT